AAGTTGATGGTTTTCAAGCGGTGCTTCTATGGATGAAGTGATACAGTTGATACCGCTTGAAACTCATTACTCCTTTCATGTACCATCATATAAAAAATATTAGCTATCTACACACGTATTTTTACTTTGCATATACACCTTTCAATTTCGGCATTCAGATCGAATGAATTGAAGAAGATCAATGACTAAATATTAACAAGAGTGTGTGAAAGGTAAAAATGAGTGTGGAAGGTAAAAATAAGTGTGTGAATAGCACTATTCTAAAGAGAAAAAGGTTGTTTCAGTTTTTTTTTTCTTGCTGTAGTTTTTCTTTTTTGTACAAAGGATATTATCTATACTACATGAGAGGGCGTGGGCTTAACCTCTCAATAAGTTAACAATTATGTAGTTTAAATTCACCTTTGGCAAGAATCGAACATAACCTCTACTTAAATGAAGAAGAATACTACTAAACCATAGTACTAAGTGGCAATTGGTAACGTCATTTTAATTTGTAATTACAGTGGGGAATTGGGAATTACCTAAATAAGAAAGTGTACAAGATAAGACAAATCTCTCTCCCCAATCTATAAGAGGAGAAATTCTTGGATCCAGATTGTAGACCCATCAATATCATGTGGTTTGGAAACCAATAATTATATGCCAGTTGTGTCACCTTTCTTTCTTCTCTCACGAGTCAAATCTCTCGTGCTTGGCTTCTTCTTGTTCATAAATAGTTTTCAGTTCTCTCCTAAGAAGTTTCCAAACGACCATACCCAATTCAGATGATATGTTCCGGCTTCTTTCATCCTTGATAAGCGCACAATAATTAGCAAGAAGAAGAAAAATTTAGTTTAGGGAGTTTTTTCTATTAGATATGGAAACTAAAGTGATGGTTTGACAAGGAAACGGATTAGTATATTACTGGTCCTGTTTTTCACAGTTTAGAGCCGCTATATTGACAATTTGTTGCCTTTATATTTCCCATATGTTTCCTTTATATTTCAAGTATATTGACACTGTATTTCCACTATATTTCTAGTAAATTTTCAAATGCTATTGTATAAAATCAAAGTTAAAATCTTTTCAAAAAAAAAAAAAAAACCACTGAGAGAGAAGGGTTCAGGAACTTTCACCCCTATATTGAAAAGTATTTCCTTTATTATCGCTTATTCATTTTGTGGCTTAGCTTGAACCGCACGTGATGTTAGTGTAAAGTATTTTCTTTTTGGAGAGTGGTTGCCTCATTGCTTTCATCAGTTAACCCCATCAGAAAATGGCAGCTACGTAACGAGGCTTGCATCATGGCTTTGATCATGAGCATAAGACTATAAAATTATATAGAAGAAGATGATTCATAAGAAGAAGTAGTTAATTCAACAGCTAAAATCATATTGCTCACGAGAACATTGCCTCTTGAAAGAATCATATACTATATTTCCCTCCTTGAAATTTTCAGGTTTGACGAGAATTTTCCCTGTTTATGCCTTTGATATCCCGTGATCACTTTTATTGATTGAAACTGGTACACAACTCTTTGATCAGATTGCACACATATATGTTAGAACCAATCAAATGTCAAGTGTTTAATATATAACAATTTACACAGTTTTATTTCAAATGAAAAAAAAAAAATCAACAACAAATACAATATATCAAAATATAAACAATTAATGAAATTGTATATAAAATCACTGACTTGTTTCTTGAAAATGGAGGCTTGCAGAAGCAATCTCCTAAGACAGAAATTCGTCCCTACACCAGTGCAGCAGTTTAATGGACGTTGATCTTGCAGGATACAACTATCTAATCCAAGTTCTTGCACTCGAACTTGGATTCTTGGTGAATTGGTTGTGGCGTTTCTCTGTGAAGTATGAAGGATTCGATGGAATTGTTATATTTGTTTCTGATCCGACTGGCCATATATATAATGGCGTAAATGAGCAGTTGAAACCGTTCATATTTATCTTTAAGAATGGTTGTAACTGTTCATATATAATGTAAAAATGATACTTGGGTTTTTTGTCCATCCGAGCCCAAGAGCCCCAAGGCCGAAGGCCCATCTTTGACATTTAATATATGCACCCAAACCCTCCAAGTCTAAGGCCCAAGGTCCATGGCTTTGGCCCAATTCATTTCAAACTATAAGTGAGTTCACTCACTTAGAAAGATGAAGTTTAAAACCTGTTTGGGCGATGTGGGACTAGGAGTCCCATATAAACACAAGTTCCAACAATACCCCATATTTTCTATTCAAACTCTAGCAATACCCCACATTTGAATAGAAAATAAGATACTAGCTAAATTAGTAACGTCTTTCCAGAGAACTTAGATATGATAAGTGTCTTTTGGACTTGAACCTTCTCTAGTGAGTACTTATCGGATTTACCTAATGAAGCAGTGAATTTACTATCTTGAACTGATCATTCTTAATAGGAAAATTGAAACAATAAGTATCACACATATCACATCTTGACACACTTCAATTCATACGGTTGTGTTCAATTCATACGGCCATATATATAATGGCGTAAATGAGCAGTTGAAACCGTTCATATTTATCTTAAAGAATGGTTGTAACCATTCATGTGATCAGTTTTATCCCTTTGGAAAAAACTGAATGCGAAAATCAAAAACGTAAAAATGATACTTGGATTTTTTGTCCATCTGAGCCCAAGAGCCCCAAGGCCGAAGGCACCCATCTTTGACATTTAATATATGCACCCAAACTCTTCAAGTCTAAGGCCCAAGGTCCACAACTTAATCTCAATTCATTTCAAATTATAAGTGAGTGAACTTAGTTATAAAGATGAAGTTTAAAACCTGTTTGGGCGATGTGGGACTGGGAGTCCCACATAAACACAAGTTCCAACAATATATAATTCATCGTCATGTAACCGAGATTGAGTTCATCATCAAAACATTTCGGTGGAAGTCACTTCTAAAGAATCTCCAAATATTCACAAACACAGTAATTACATTCATAGTATATTAAGTTTAAGCTAGCACACAGAAATCACGTCATTCGTATCATTTGAAGCTTTAGCAATGGTTGGCGTAGATTATCGTTCGATTTGCTGTAACTGTTGAAGGATGGGAGAACGGCGACTTGGAGCCGTCAACTCCACCCCATTTACTGACAGAAGATGAAGACGGCAGAGAAGAGGAAGAAGTCCAGAAGAAAGAAGAAGAGAATCATGAGAAAAGCAAACCCACCTGCAAAATTTAACGAATTTGTAATTGATACTATATGTTTATAGTTAGGCCAGGTTTAGGGGTGTGATTTTTACCTTAAAAGTTTTCGATATTATTAAAAGTGAAAGCCCTCAATATAAGTCATATTTAATTTTGTCAATTTTCTGATGCTATATTCTTGTATTCTTCAACATAAGTTGCCATCTTACCAACCATGATTTTTTTTCGCAGTATATGAGTGACATGCACTTTGGCAGCGTAAACAGAATCATATCAAATGTTGTCGGTTTGAAATTAAGACTACAATAACATAGGTTAATCGAGTGGGTCAACAAAAGAGAAAGAAACCGAAACTTTTAGACATAAAATGTCGATTGAACCTTCGGAAATGGCAGGCGTGGATCATGCATAACTATTGATCTTGAAAGTTGGGGTGTGGCGCTCAGGAACAGCCGTCAGCCGACGCCATATCTTCTAGCCGATCGAGCAAAGTTCTGGCATTGACACCGATGAAAAAAAACATGGAAGATGTCATACTAGTTGTCAAACGAATAACAGATGAATGCAAAATATGCGGATTATAATGTTTCACCCAAAATCAAGAAGGAAATGTCTTCAGATTATGTATCATAAAAGCTGAGGATAATTTTAAACAATCTCACCCAACTAAATGTTGTTGCAACATGCCAGCAACGAGGAACTTCATCTATTTTTTCTTCCAAACGACCCTTTGAAAAAGGTCAAGTTCAAATCACACACAACATTTGACACCAGAAAAATAGACGAAATTTTGTTGCAAGTGATGCATTGCAATAAAACTCTAAATGTGGTTGTACATCGACACCATTTTTTTGCAAGTGAAAAAATGATAACAAATCATTTAGTTCTGTTGTCCTTGGTCTAACTTTCCCATAAATTATCATTTCTTTTTCCTTCTGGAATCCCATAACTTATAAAAGAGAATATGGAGTAAAATGGTCCAATAAATTGAGTCAAGATTGTCCATACAAATATGGATAAAATGATACTGCAGCTTGAAACACATAACCCATGTTAATTACGACCTCACTTTTCATGTATATACCTTGATATTTCTGCACGGTTAGATGATAAGTATATTACGGATTGGAATTAGCAATAGTTTAGTCAACACCCTTCTTTTCTTTTTTCTCTTTTTTTTTATTGTCAAACGATATATTTGTTAAATTACATGCTTAGATTAGGAAGTCGACGACGTTCGAACTCACGCTATATTGCAAGGACAACATTCATCTCCACCTCTATAATAAAGGACCACTTGCTAACCAATACCCTTCTTGTTTCCCATGTTTTGAGTGAACGCAGTAGCGAAGCCACATGGAGGCCATGGTCGGGGCAGGCCTATCCTGGAATTATTCCTCAGAAAAAATCAATATGTAGCTCCTTTTATCATAAACAATTTGCGTATTGGTTATCAGTATTTGACAGTACTGGAGAAGTGATGAGAAGAAGTTATGTTCTTATAATATTTTCAATTCCAATTTTTTCATATGAGTTTTAAAGCTCCATCACATTTGTTTGATTAAAACTTTTCATGCCACTTTCCAACTAATTATATTGTTATATTTTGCCTAATTTTTTTCATATGGCTTAAAGGCCCTCCTGAGAACGATTTCTAGCTCCGCCACTGGTTGAACGGTTGCTTGAGTTTTGAACTTGTTACCGCGGTGTATTCGTGTCTTCTTATTGGTATGATGCATCCTATTGAACTTTGTCATATAAATTTACACCCATTCTGGCCTTACAGCAAGAATCATCAAAGAAAAGAGGCCAACCAGTTTATGGAATAACTGCAAAACTACAACATTTCTATTATGACTGTTGACATAAATTAATTTCATCTCATAGCAATGCATCCACACCTACCCAAGGAAACTAATTAAACTACATCACATGTGTTCACATGTAAATCCATTTAACACTTCCCAGTTAAAGAAGCTCCTCCTGGAACTAAATCAAATCTTGTGTCTTTTGCCACATTTGGGCAAGATTATAATTGCATATTAACCAAACTTTACATTTCTTCGATTAAATTGTAGTAATGAGAGAGAGCGAGAGTGGTTGAGGTCACAGATTTAACAATTTAAACTCTCTGTACATGAAACCTGTGAACCGCTTTGCACAAAGGGGTTGGTACCACATATCAACATCATTCAACCAGACTTCCGAGAGTAACGACGTCTGCACCCGTATATAATCTCAAACGCTATAGGTCTTTGACAAACTAACAGTCTTCACAAGTTCAAACACCAGTTTACGGGTGCTCAACACACATAGGTGAAGCCATGTCGGCAGAAGCTTTGGCATGAAGAGATGGAAAGAAGAGACAAGGACCACGCATCACAGTATCTACTGGCCGAGCAAAAACCAAACAACAAAAGTCAAAGGAATGAGAAGAAAGAGATGATTGTAGCAGAACCACAGGTGAAGGAAAAATTGGAACCATGAGCAACAGTTCCCTTCATGCAACCTGAAACTTCTCGTGGTTGCACAAGACCTTTGTTGATGAAGTTGAGCATCTGCATTATTGCAAGACATTTTGCAAAGTCGTCTGATTAGATATCAATTTCAAATTAAACATGTATTTACAGATCTTAAGCTGAGTTTGATCTCTTAAATATTTTAGTTCTATTTTATCATGACACCATAAATAGCGCTAGCTAGCTGTAACTTAGTATCGATGGCTATAACTAATTTAATTGTTTGAATACTAATTCAATTTTTTCCCCTGCAAAGAATAAAAACACTCTAATATCAAGGTTTGTACCTAAACATGAACTGAAAGTGAGACGTAGACTCTACTGCCAATGATAACCAAAATTATGGAAAGCAAAAAAAAGCTTCTATTACGCTCCCTGGCTTTCCTTTAAGATAAATACTAAATTCAGAACAATATTAATCAACTTGATGATACAATCTGCAAGGTTTGTGCTCCATGACTTGGCCACACCAACAAAAGCATGTATCCACAAGATTGCAAATTAGAATTTAAAAGATGAAATCATGATATTATGAATTGGAAATACAGATATGCTTCATTGAGGGTTTAACCGAGCTAAACTACCAAAAACAGTATTACATGCTGACAGAGTAAGAGGAAATGAGTATATAATTTCTGATTACCTCAACGTCCACCGGATAATTCAATAGCATCCTGATTATAAACAGAATCTTCTCCCCAGTCAAATCTCCTTTGTAGTCTTTCATACTCTTGCCTGCGAGTAACTTCTACGTTCTGCCATTCTTCCCAGCGCTCAGCCAGACCCTCCCCTTCGAGCATCCGTACCACCTCCGACATTAATGGGCGGTCTTCAGGGGATCCTTGAGTACAGAGAAGTGCAACTTTGATCATCATTTCTACCTCTTGGATGTTGAAACTATCATTCAAATTGCTGTCTACAATAGCATCCAGTCTCTTTTCCCTTTCCAGCTTTTTGACCTTCAGGAGCAGATAAGCAGAGAAGGTTAGCACAGTGAGTCCAAACTCAGGCAAAAATCTGCACTCAGTGAAAGAAAAAAAAGCTACTTTTTCTTCCTCAAGTGTGATATCATTTCATGTTGAGCATAAGTTACGAATAAAATTCCATACCCTAGCTTCATAGAATTGGAAACAGTCTTTGACCCTACAACTTCATATCATCTGTGAGCATGCTAAGCTCCCAATGCCAATGAAACAATTATTACGAGTAAAATTTAAAAACATGCCACTTCCTTGAGTTATCTTAACATGTGCAAAAATAAGTTTATCTTCCATGGTCAAGGAACTAAACAAGTTTATATAAAAACAGAAGTTCGGGAGAGGGGGAGTGGAGAAGAGAAAGAGAGACCCAAATACAGAAAGAGTTTATCTTACATGGTCAAGCAACAAAACATCATCTTCTTCTTCCAAGCGTGAAAAATCAATTGCCCGTTGTCCTGTTACAAGTTCTAAAAGCATAATCCCATAGCCAAACACATCTGTCCTTTCTGATGACTTCCCAGTGGACAAATATTCAGGAGCTATGTGACCCATTGTGCCACGAACTTGAGTTGTCACATTAGTCTTTCTAACATCCACCAACTTTGCCAAGCCAAAGTCACCAACAACTGCTTCAAAATCTTCATCAAGTAATACATTAGCAGCCTTAACATCTCGATGAATAATCTTAGGGTTACAATGTTCATGTAGGTACTCTAGCCCACGGGCTGTGCCTAATGCCACCTGCTTTCTTCTAGGCCAATCTAAAACAGGCTCGCCAGGTTTAATCTCTCGTAACCGATAGGCAACACTTAAATTCTGCATAAAGGGATACACTAGAAGGCGTTCTTTTGGAGTCGTGCAAAATCCAATCAGTTTTAATAGATTTCTGTGAACAGCTACACTTATCATTTCAACTTCGCGGTGGAAAGCTGCATCCCCCCCAGGACTTTCAAAATCAGTGAGACGCTTAACAGCAACTTTTGTGTTATCAGATAGCACTCCTTTATAGACTTTTCCAAAACCTCCCTGTCCTAGAACATTTTTCTCACTGAAGCGGTCTGTTGCTAGCTGCAATTCCGTCCACGAAAATCTTTTTAACTGGCCAAATGCAATCCTTCGGTCGATTTCACCTGGTGGTTTTCGATTATAAAAATAAAAAAAAGTTAAAAAATAATTAAAAAAATTAAAAAAAAACCCAAATGAGCTCAATTATGCATGGCAGGGCTCACCCAGGCCCTATAGACAGAAATTGGTGACGATAAAAAGTTCATTGACAACAAAATCTAAAATACACAGCTTTAGATGACGTGTGCCATACCCTGTCATGAGTACTTAATGGATCCAATCAATTTTCTCACAGATACTTTAGATTTTTTTTTTTTCTTGCATCATTGAGCGACTTGTGCAGTCAAATGGAGAAAACACAATCTTTCTTGTAATGATTAACGTTTCATGATTTGATTTATATCAATATCAAGTTTTCATCACATTCCCATATTAATGATTTCCACTTAAAAATTTGTTGAACTTATTCAGGGGTCCCTTTTGCATCCATTATTTCGATAATTTACAGTGTGTACAACTTTCAAACTAGCAGTTGATCCAGCATTTTTTATCTGTTTCCTTAAATCATGTTACAATGATGATGATTTCCTAATGCTTGTGGGACGCCCAGTGGTGACACAAAGGGCCCAAACGTCACTGCCTATTAGAGCATTTTTAATGGTAATGGCAAGGGCCAGAGGTCAAATCTAGCCTCCCGACCAAAATGTCGCTATTCATAAAGTTTAGCCCTCTAAATTTGTATTAGAGAACTCAAAATTTTTAACATTGACTGGCCAATAAACAATATTTTCTTTTATGAAACTACAAGATGTTGATCACCCCCACCGCTCTCAACCTTACATAAGTGCAATGACACAACATACCATGAATGTGTAAATATTTATCCTGAAGAGGAACCCCTTGTGTAACTTCAGTCGATAGACCAATTCAATAATAATCCTAATTTGGTTGACAGAAAGGAAATCTCACTGAGCCATTATAAGATTATGGTTGAATCACTTTAGCATGATTGGTCAAAGCTAAAATCAAGGTCCCATTGATTGGTCAGATGATGGAGTTGTTAATCAGTTCTACAACTAGAAAGCAATGCATACCTGCAACATCCACAAAAACTTCACGCTTGGAGCCTTCGTGTCTACGCTTGCAGGTGAAGTACAGTAAACCTCCAAGTAATAATAAAATGATCAGCCCCCCAACAACTCCAACTATGATTCCAAGCTTCGGCTTACTTTTAGCGCCTGTCAAGAGTGGGGAAACCCAATCGTGTAAGCTTATAAAAGGAGAGGGTAAATAGAACGGTTCAATTTTAGATGTTGTTTGACCCATTAACCTGGACCAGCAGTATCAGGTGCACAATGGTGAGGGAGATTCACACCACAGTCTAGGTGGTTTCCTGTAAAACTGAAACAAGCAACACGGGTCAACTCAAGATTCATGCTGAAAAACATATTCTGAATATATGGGTGTGTGTAGAGAGAGAGAGAGAGAGAGAGAGAGAGAGAGAATAGCATGTAGTCTTGTGTTCATACTTGTATTTTGGGACATTAAACAACTGCTCAGGTATTTTTCCAGTGAAAGCATTGGAGACAAGCTGACTGAAAACAAAGTTTTAAGTTTGCCATCAAATACTGAAGAAATGAGACCCAAGTATACAACTTTCACACGGATAACGTTTAGAATTTTAAAAGTTGGAGAGCCAAATTAATTCGTCTAGTATAAAGAATGGACAAATCCTGATTTCTCATATCACATGTGCATTGTACAGGAAAAGATAACGTACAGACTAATCAAGTATGAAAGACTTGAAAGTGACTCTGGGATAGTACCACTCAGATTATTGTTATTCAAAGTCCTGTTTACATCGTCAAGAAAGCACGGTCAGATAGAAGTAAGGATAATGTAGAGTCATTAGATATTAGTGAAAACATTAAACAACGTGGACGAAACAACTTACAAGAATTGAAGACTTTTCAGATTGCCAAGGGAGGCTGGTATTTCACCAGTTAAATTATTATTTTCTAAATTCAAGGTGGACAAACTTGTCAGATTTCCAAACTCTTTTGGTATCTCACCAGTTATGCCATTTCCTTGTAATGAACTGCAAGATGAATGCACCTTATACATATTAGAATCATGGGCATATGAAATTCTCATTGCCTTTCTGTTCATCCTGCCTGTTACATCTTATGGTAATCAATAGAAATTGAAAAACACAAAATAAAAAACAATATCACTTGTTTTCTTCATAAGAATATTGGTGTACCACAATTCGGGAAAGCAACTTGTTAGGATGAGAACCACCACTTCTTTTATATTCTAACAGTTCTTCCCACATGTAGGCCTCCCTCCACTATCATATCCCAACATGTGGGATTCAACTTACAAGGGAGGTTTCAATTGCAGGACTTCCAACTCATGATTTTCTATAATCTAACAATTTGCGAGGTACCTCATTTGCAAGCTTCAATTAATAAAGTTAAATGTCTTAGCAAGCGGTCAAACAGAAAATAACAAGTGTAGACACATGAAGCTAACCAAATTAGCTAGAAGTTGGAACAAGGTTTGTTTAATCCTGAATTAATCCGGAAAATGCTTGAGTTGAATTTGCAATCATAGAAAAGTTGACATTGTCATACTCTACAAACAAGTCTAACCGTACTATCTTAACAATTCCTTACTTTTAAAGCATGGGATTTGGAGTCTAAGCTAAAAACAAATAAATTGACTTCAATAACTCAAGTACACAACCCAGGACGTTGTCAATGCATCAGAATGATGCATGACATTATTTATTCTTCAGTTACCCTAAATTGCATTTTCCATATTCTTAGAAGAAAATATTATAGTTGATCGCAAAATATAATACATCAGATATCTTACAAGTCAATATCAAACTACAGATACTGAGAATCCAGTATCTGTGGTGACAATGCTAGTTTCAGAAATGACTCCAGACGATCCAGTGTTAGAAATTATGATAAACAGAACTAGAATTCTCCTTACTCACAGTGTTTGAAGATTTTTCAGGGCTCCTAATTTAGGAGACAAGATGCCAGAAAATCCAATATTTGACAATATTCTGCAAAATGAAAAAGACCAAACTAAGCATAGACAAGCCAAAAAAAAAACATTAATCTAGGCAATGAGGAATTTCGTATTGTGAAGTGATCTGTTGACAACAAAACATCACAATAACCAAAGGATGTCTTACACAGAAACGACATTATAGTTACGGTCGCAATTCACATTGGACCAAGTGCATGGATTGACTTGGTTCTGGTTCCAGTCCTTGAGCTGATTGGGTGAACAATTCAAAGAAGTCCTTAATGAAAACAGTGCATCTCCTGAAACCGAAAATGCCAATATTCATTATCTAATCGGACAAATTCGCCAACAAAAATGCACCACCACGTTACATAAATACTAGAAAAGGAATAGATACAACAAAGGAAAGTAAAAGATAGTAAACATATTCTACCATACAAAAACCTAAAGACAGTCCACTAACCCCCTGGTTCAACGTTCTTTCTACAATATCCTAGAAAGAGCAAGAGAGGAGATAAAGAAAGAGGTGCAGAGAGGACAGCAAGAGAAGAGAGAAAGAAGGAGGTGCAGAGAGGACACCAATGTTTGAATATTTTAATTGCATCAAAGTCACAATATTGGACATATAGCATTAAACAATAGTAGACTTCTTAGCCCTTATCTTGTTTCTTATGATATGTAACTGAAAGAATGGGAAAATTGTTGTGATTAGCATATCCCAGATGCTGTCTGAATGAATTAAATGTAGCATAACCTCAGAACCGTACCTTGTGCATCAGGCAGTACAAAAGACTGTAAGCAAGCCCACACTAAAACTGCAAAGACCAACTCCATTTTCAACAACACCATTCTTGCTAGTGATGGATGCAATGAAATGCATGGCGGTTATCAAGGAGCGCTTGAATCAATTCCATATCTGCAAAAAGGGACAAAAATCCTTCAGTGAGCTATAAATAGTAGGAACTGCAACAATAACAAATTCGAGGCAAGCCTACGTTGCCATCCTACCAAAGTATAGTTCAGTCAGGAAAATGAAACTGCAATAACAAACAACTTAATGGAAAACAATATGTGCTTAAGTTTTTTGGGAGCCATAGTCTATATTTGAGTACAAAGCCTCAATTCAATTATTTCCTGCAGCAGTCTATTTCTTAAGAAGCAAATTTTAATTATTACAATGAATTTCATACCTGACAAGAAATTAGAAATTGTCATCCTTTGGAAGTTTAAACTTTAAAGTGCACAATGTAAGAGATTCAATCATTCATGTTGTTGGCTCGGCTGTTCCCTTCTCAACAATCATTCATATATTGCAACCAGACTCGAAAATCGAAAGAAACACAGATTCAGCTCAACCCACAAAACAATTCAAACCAATGAATAAAAAATGGGGGAAATTGCAGTTCAATCTTCATTCCCGGAAAAAGTTTAATCCTTTTCTCAGGTCCCAATTAAATGTTTAAAAGTTCAAATTTTCGTCACTTCCATTCCCCACGATCCCTTCAAGTTTTCCCAGCAACCAAACAACAATGAAAAGCAAGCAAAACCCATGTCTGCAAATAATAAAACTAAGAAGAAATACAGCTGAAAGGAGAACAAGAGGAAGGATAGAAGCACCTTTGAGGAGGAATCAGGAAGGAATGGCAGAGTTTCTGGAAGATTGAGTGAAGCTAACCACTCACAAGGTTCTTAGCTGTTTCCCAGTTGACTGTGAGACTTGAGAGGGGAGAGAGAGTGTGTGTTTAGGAGGGTCTGGTTATTCTCAGCAGCTAGTTAACCTCCGAAGACTCAAAAAAGCTTCTGTTTAAGTCTTCTGTCTATTTGCTTCTCTGTCATGAAAACATTTTCTAATTCGACTTTATAATTTCATGGAGGAGAAAAATCCTCGGAAAAATAAAAAATTAATTACTTTCTCTCGCTGGCGGCTGTGCTGCTGCTGGTGTAACAATTTGGTTCAATGCTTCTGGTGAAAGCAAGAGAGAGATCCGTACCAGTTACCTTATCACCTAATTATTGAGAGACAATTGACTGTTCGTAATTGTTGAATTTCATGATAAGTCAAACGAGTCTTGGCTCTTTGGAAAACAAACACTAATCATTCTATATATGGAGTTCATGAGGTGAAAAATTTAAACGTGTTATCGATTAACAATTATATAGGAAATAAATAAAATAGTAAATAAAGTTCCAACAACATTCTTAAAAACTTAAATGCTGTTTTGAGAAAGTAAATGAAGGGTTTTGGCCAAAAATACCCCTAGATATCAAACAAAGTCGTGAATATCGTTCCTTGCATCATTCTCTTCGAGGTGGCATATTACAGGCATGATTCTAACATTGACGACCACACCTACATTCTGGAAACTTTGCTGCCACTTTTACGCCTTTTGAGTTGTTAATCGATTTGCTTGTCCGTCCATTCTATATCAGTCCCCTCCACTTCAGAAAGTTATTATCAATTCACAATAGATTATTAAGAGTTACAATCGCATACTGGCTCGCTAATTGAAACTTAATGGATCGTACACGTACACCAAGTATAGATGAATGTAAAGAAATACCAATGAAATGGATAATCAATTAAATATTTTAATTGAGCTTGGCCAAGACTAATTAATTGGTTTATTAACCATACGAAAATGTTTTGCATTGGGCTTTATATTAGTTTCGATTTTCATGGCCCAAATGTGTTTGGTCCATAAGGACCCATTGGTTTTAAGTTGTATGACAACTAAAACCAAATAGGGAATTAGTCCAAAACCAAAGACTTGGTCGGCCAACATGCAAGGGGAAGTGATGGTAGACTTACTACAAGTTTGCTCCTTTTGGTGTAAATATATTGTTTGATAAAAAAAAAAAGTTTAGGTCTTCCACAATGCCTATTCAAAGTTGTTTGGAAAGAGTACGATGAAGTCTATAAAAAGAGAATTCTTTCTCTAGACAAATCATTTAATGTATTTTCTCTTCTCTTTGATGTGCTTTTTTTCCAGGCTCTACCTCATAGTAATTAATAGTCTAACAATATTAGAGCTCAATCCTATGTCATCCTGTGATATCTTAAAGAGATGTCGAGCACTCCCTTCTGTGGTATCACATAAGGAAGAAGAAGGCTTCGGCACTATCACGTATCACGGCATCGTAAGCATGTATTTTGTTTGTTTACGAACGTGATCTGCAACAAAGACAAGCTGGGATTCTTGGAGCGTGATTATCACAACAAGAACAGAAAAACAATTCAATTGGTTTGAGAGAAGATAATATATTTGAATTTAAAACCAATTAAACTTGCCACTCATTCCAAGCTCCAAATGGTGCAGTAGAAACAGCACTCAGAAGTCTGCGATCAGACCTGAATGCAATAGATTTGCTTTTCCACAAATCTTAACTATCCATAAATCAAAACCAAGTCTCAGTCAACCACTAATCCAAATTATTAAATAATTGGAAAAAGGTTCTTGAAAGTTGATTTGTATGTTTGTTATTACTACTGCTTTTGATCAAGTTTATCAAGTAGCAGTATTTTTTCTGAGTTATTTTTATTTTTATTATTGGCTGTGGCATAAATTAATATTGTAGTTATGAGCTCTATTTTAATTTGTGAAATGGCTAATAAGTTTGAGTCAATCAAAACTGAGAGATTCAATAATGTTAATCATCGTATATGAAAGATAAAGATTACTTATCTTCTTACTCATGAGAAAACTTTGTATATAATTCAAGATGAGATGCTCGTTTACGCAAGCTTATACAATATGGGAAAAGGATAATAAGATGGCTCATGCCACAATTTTGAACCATATGAAAGATGATTTGATTTCTCTTTATGAGGAGTACATGATTGTAAAGAAGATCATGGATATTCTTGAAGACAAGTATAGTCCCAATTTCAAACTTATATTCAATTACATTTTGAGAAGTACAACGGGACATATGTCTGAGAATGATACCATGGTGGACCATATTACCAAGATCGAGATTATGGCAAGAGATCTTTCTAATGTTGGTCATCCTGTTTCTGATTAAATGCAAGTCTTTATACTTTTGAATAGTTTACCAAAGTTGTGGGAAAGTAGTAACTGCTTTGACATGATTACCATAGTTTACTATGACCACTTTACCCGCGATGCTAGCTATAGAGGAAGTTGGAATGTATCCGAGGAATGAAAATGACAAGATTAATAGAGATGGCAATCTTTCGCCCTATGACCATGACCATGACATAGGAAATGTGATCCTAATCATCTTCATAACATTTTTGGATTTCTAATATTTTTAATTTTTATTACTATTTTTTATTACTAAAATTCAATATTCCTAACATATTTTCACGTGGCATTATCTGAGCACACCACATGGATAATTGAGGCGACAGTTGTAGTGGAGGGAAATAAAAATTTTGGGGGAACCTTTTCCCTCCAAATCCTTCGGTCTTTGTAGAAGGCAACAAAAAGAGGATTTTAATCCCAAGTTTCACCTAATTCATTAACTCCCATCTCCCATCTTTCCTTACATCTTTAATTCCCTCTCTTTAATTTCCAACTCTCCTTACATCTGTGATGGATCAGTAACTTCATTCAATCATGGAAATACCACCCAAGTCATCTCCTTCAACCCTATTGAATATACCAACAGCAAAAACTCCTTGCGAAATTCTCTTTTATACATCAATAGTCTTAACTCCTCCAATCATCATTAATACTCCACCTCCCAAAACCAGTCTAGTTCTATTGTATACTCCTACTCCAACATATGTTTGTCCTACACCCAATTCCAAATCTCAGAAACCAGTCACTGTGAATACACCCCTAGCAAAGAACCAAAGTCTGGCAACAAGTGGCCACACTTAGGACTTAGAGGTGGTAGACTTCATTACAACCTTCTGTTTTCAGGTGTACATCACTTAAACCACTATCTTTTCTTTTGCAAGAAAAAACACGTTCAATTGGTTGGGGAAATCGAACATATTTGTCGTGAGTTGAGAACTGTTGAAAAGGCAAGCCAAGAATTAGAAACAGAGGCAACAGAGATTATTGCCTCCCTCTACCATTTAAAGTACTTGAACAAACTCAACTAATAGAGAAATCCAAAGGATGCACCTCCACTAAGGAGGAAGTGGAATTGAGGAAAACAAGGGGTTAATTCTTTTAAGTTTTATACCCAACGTGTGCTACCCAATGATCAACCCATTCATAAGTAACCATACCCGAGGTCCTTGGATTTGGTAACAATTCACTAAATTAAGTTTCCGTGCGTGGGATTTATACATGTTTTTTGGTTCTCAACTCATTCTAGAATGCTTGTAAGAGTGGATGTGGTAGTGGGATAAGTACATTTCTTGGAGCACAAATGTACGCACAATGCCTTTAACATTTGGTGTGGGGGTTAGATGACAACATGGTTTTTTGGCCCTCAAATGTTCAAACTATGTGTTTAGCATTGCCCGTGGGAGTGGTGATATGTTTCTGTGTATTTTTCATATTTTGTATCAATGATCCCTTTGAATATCTATTGTGTGCTTCTAGAATGACCTAACTGACAAGACTGCAGCAGAGCAAACATAAAAATTCATAACTACTCATAAACCCACACACAACCAAAACCACCCCATTAAATGTGACCTATACAAACTGAATAATTCCTAGCAACCACAACACATCCTTAATATAGTTATAAAAAAAGCTTAAGGATTTGGACAGAATTTCGAACTAATTGGTTGTAAACTGTGTACAAACTGAATATACCTACAACAGACCATCATATATATGTCCCGTCTATCCAGATTTTTGTTGGTGTAAATAATTTAATGACATCTAAACTAATCTCCTATAAACACAAGCCAAGGACAATAAAGATCCCAACATTTACTTCATGCACAACCATGGCAACCGTAGATGTCATGTGTGATTCGAGGAATGTTGCTGATTTCATGATCCGACCGATCAAATTGCAGAAGTGAATATCAAATTCAGAAATTACTCACGGTCCATCATTGTGTGGCATAAAAAATGCAACGAACAAGAGTCCATCTTGGTTGTGGTACAACAAAAGTTGTACAAAGCATTGTACAAATCGCCCGAGTACAAATGCCAAATACATAGCCCAAAGCATAAGTATGATGAACTAGTTCTAAATGAGGAGGAAGATGTACATCGTACGTCAATCACTTTATGAGCGACAAACCAGCTCTAACAAGAGTGTGACTTCGGTTTCTTTGATGAGTTTAAGAAATTTCATTCGTATCTCCATCGTAACCGCAGGGATATGATTAGGACTACATTTGGCCGTCGCATAAGGAAGACATTGTAGAAGACGGTCATGATTACAAGGAGTATGAGTACGTAAAAAAGACTCAAACAAGCCACTAAAAGGATCCTTAGGGTCAAGTTTGCCTTCTTATATATTTACGACTTGTTGTTATGTACATTATGCGTACTTTTTTAAGTATATCGTAATGTCAAGCTTTTTTAAGTGACTCAAGTGTTATTGTTATAAATGTTCATAAGCTGTCACAAATATTCATATACATTCAACATATGTCACAGTTTATGTAGCACAATTTCCAACACTGGTGTGGCACGGAAATTTTCTAAAATAACTGTGCCCACATAAAAATATTAGTTCATCCCCCATCCAATTACACTTCAATGTCTTCACAACTACAACACAATGTATCACAACCCATGACAAGTTTTACACCTATATATCTAAATTCCAAATTCACTATTTCAACCAAGTGTAGTCCAAACCACCCACCATTATAGACTCAAATCCCTGATTTATAAAAACCCAATGAAATCGACCCTTCACCAGCTCACAAACTCCCTTTCTGCCTTTCTTTCACCTCGACAATAACCCTCACCCATCCCTCTCTTCGATAAAAACACACCTGGTGAATTTTTTTTTTTAAAGGTATAGGATTTTACCAGGTCCCGATCAATCGACTTGAGATCAAACCCTTCCAACCTCACCAGCTCCTTCTCTCTGCCTCTATTTCCTATCGAAGAAAACCCTAATCTCCCCCACTCTCGCTGACAAAAACACCCCTACTAAACGAAAAAAATTAGAGGTATAAGATTACTCTCCTCCTCTCTTGCCGACAAACACTCCAAGTGAAAAAAAAAAAAAAAAAAAATTAAAGATATAAGATTGCTCTCCCAAACTGGAATCGATTGCAGTCGCAACGCTGAATTGATCCTCACCCCATCTCCATGTCTTTGCCTCTCTTTCTTTCCCTCTACAATGCGCGAACATATCCTTTAGCTCCCCCGCCTTCAACTTTTTCTCTGACAAACACATACCCACCGAATAAAAAAAATTAAATGTTTAATTACACTGGGTCACAACAACTCAGTTCTACCTGTGAGCTCAGCAACACCACTGTTAGATTGCAGTCCGCACACAAGGTGTGCTTTTGCGGTCCGCACCTTACAATATGGGTAACATTATTTGTATAGGTAAATTAGTAGGCAAGTTTTAATATATATATATATATATATAGAGAGAGAGAGAGAGAGAGAGAGAGAGAGAGAGAGAATAATATAACATGAAAAAATGTAGTATAAAAAATAAAGTACAAGAAATACAAATAACAAGAGAGACAAGAGAGAATATAGAGATTGGGAGGAGAAATATGAGTGTATCATTTGATTATCATTAGACCCCTTTATATAGGGTGAGAGTTACTTGAAAGAGAAGCCCAAGTGCCTCTAATTACATCAATGATTAATAAGAGATTAACTACACAATTGGTTACAAAAGTGGACAGCCACATAGACATAAATATTTACAACACTCTCCCTTGGATATCCGTGCATTAATAAATTTATGTTGACCATTGATGATAGTTGTCCTAATAAAAACCTTGCTTGGAAAACCCAATGGGACAAAACCAAAGTGACGGAGAAAAATCAAGTACAACTTTGAAACCACTAATAAGGTATTGGACCCGCATTTTGCTGCTTCACTAAAACCTTGCTAGGAAAAACCTAGTGGGATCAAAACCTAGTCGGAGGGTAAAGAACATAGCACGCTTGTATGTCCATAACTGCAACATTATAGTTCAGTTCGAACTAAAAGAAGTACTCATTGAGTCAATATATACCAAATTTAGCTAGAAAATGTATTGAGTACATATTTTGAGCTTTATGCTCTTCATTTGAAATCTTTGATAAAGAGTTTCATGGCATTCTCTATTCTTTATAAAATTGGTTCAATGGAGAGACCAAAACTAAAAATCTTAAGTAGTATGTAGCCTCCACATGCTATGAGTCTCACGTTAAAATAACATTGTACTTGTAGAAATGTGGTTGCATAAATGGTGACAAAAAAATACTCATGTCTCTACTATGGAGCACCATAATGTAATTAGTGAGCTTGTTTCATTACGAACACACAAGAATAACATTTAGAGGTATAAATTATAGGTTCCCTTATTTCATGTTTTTTAATGGCTCTCAAAATGGAATTTACCTATTTCCAATTTGGCCAACCATTTTACAATATGTCGACAATTTGTGATTGAATAGATCTTGATGGGAAAACGGGTTTGGATAGCCCTTTATGATGTGAGTAGCTACTATAATCCTCAATTTGTGATCTAACAATTCTCTCATTCTGATGCGCATGCATGATTTTATAAGTATTTCATTGTTTGGGTACAATGCCTCTTCAGGGCTTCTATTGTCACATTTAGGACAAACATCTTAAGATGAATTACTTGAGATTTGGGTGATAACCTCCTATGGAGTGTTATTTTCAATTAGGGCTTGAACTTTATTAATCTTTACTTATGAGGAATTCAAAGTTTAGAACCTACACATGTGTCATGCTTTAGACATGCAACAAATTAATCAACGTCACTTATGACTTTATATAGTTTGGATGAGACAAATGCGGATGTATCAACACTAATTCTCAATGTTCTTTGAAAACTATCATTTCTCCCCTGAACATCAGGAATATTGTCTCACCAAAGTGACAATCCACAAAACTGTGGTAACTATGAGCAAAACTTGAAACAAATTGACTTGAATCCCAATTTTAAATGATTAAAACCATCTTTGTATACACAATTACTTGTTGGTTGGAAAATAAAAATCAACCGAAATGATCATGATGATGCATGTGATCATAATGCATCTCCCAAGCAAAAATTTGTAATGAACAAAACACTTAAAGCTTGTGGTAAGCCATGAGAGTTATGTGCTCAAAATTAGTCCCAAATGGCATGAAATGGCCTACCAAATTTTGGGAATTTCGCTTGTAATTGCGAGTAAATATTATAATGACCATAGATACATCTAAGTCATTGGTCAAATAATCCACAATAAGATGCTAAATAAGCTCACAAATACACTTATAAATTCTCGAGAAAAAATACAAGATCCAAAGTAAATTTTAGATAGTCTGAGGACCAAGTTTCCGTGTGAGCAATCCTTGCAAGGACGTGCACAATGTACTATGTTAAGGCATAGAAATATATCAAGGATAATCATACATCTCATTGTGGATGGAGAATGGCCAAGATAATTATCCCATGATTGGGTCACTGAACTTCTAGTTCATGAAAAGCGTACACTACTTCCATGATTGTGTAATACAATTCATAAAAGAAAAAAGTAGGAGCTTCCGTTGAAAAAATGAATTGAACGATATACAATTCGATATGATAATAAATTGAATTAATGAATTCATAGTAACATAAAAAAAATTGAAATAAACAAAATCGAAATTAACATAATAAAAGTGCCAAAAAATAAATAAAATAAAGAGCCAAGCTATATATGGGAGATAACTCAATTGCTAATTGCTTGTAAGCTCAAGATGGGAGAATAAACTCAACCACTAAGAATGGAATAAAATGATTTTCCATATGTCCACTGAGTTCAAATTCATGGGAGTATCGTAAAAAATTTCTCAACCATTTTTCTTGTTTTAATCAAGACTTGGTAAAAATACACCAAAAGTTTTAGCGCATGGCAGGGTCGTGCTCGATGCCATATCATAAGTACCACAGAAAAAAAAAATCGTACAGTTTAGTTACGCAATTAAAACTCAAGGAAATTTAGGCCCTCAATTATTTAGAATCAAAGAACTTTCAGTTCCGATTCAGTCCAATAATTTGTAATTTAAGATGTGCAATTTCATACCTAGTCAGGAGACAAATTTATCTCATAGTGTCGATAAAAAAAACTCAAGGCGAAGTGTTTACATCCACCAAGTCCGACGTATTAATTTACTCATTTGGAGTATGAATACAGTGAGCCTCCCACTCATATTGGATGAGAATGAAAGACCAACAGATGAATGTCTCGTAACATGATGAGAGTTTGAAAAGCTACATGTCATGATTTCATTAAAACTCATTATCCCAAATAACTCATAGATTGAGGATCAACACTTCGTTGGCTCTTTGATCTCATACAACTTACATAAGCCACTTAGTACTACGGTACGAAAAACAATACTACATGCTGACAGTGTAAGAGGAAACGAGTACAAAATTACTAATTACCTCAACGTTCACCAAATAACTTAATAGCATCCTGATTACATACAGAATCTTCTCCTTGGTCAAATCTCCTTTGTAGTCTTTCATTCTGTTGCCTACGAGCAACCTCAACATTCTGCCATTCTTCCCAGCGCTCGGCCAGACCATCCCCTTCTAGCATCCGTACCACCCCCGACATTAATGGGCGGTCTTCAGGGGATTCTTGCGTACAAAGAAGCGCAACTTTGATCATCATTTCTACCTCTTGGACGTTGAAACTATCATTCAAATTTCTGTCTACAATAGCATCCAGTCTCTTTTCCCTTTCCAGCTTTTTGACCTTCAGGAGCAGATAAGCAAAGAAGGTTAGCACAGTGATATCAATTTGTTTTGAGCATATGTTAGGCACAAAATTCCATACCATACCTACATATAATCGGAAACAGTTTTTGACCATACAACTACATATCATTTGTGAGCATGCAGAGCTTCCAATACCAAAGAAACAATTGTTACGAGTAAAAATTAAAAATCATGCCATTTCTTTGAGTTATCTTAACATGCACGAAAACAAGTTTATCTTTCATGGTCAAGCAACAAAAAAAGTTTATATAAATGCATACTAGGAGGAGGTGAGGAGAGGGAGAGTGGAGAAGAGAAAGAACGACCCAAATACAGAGAGTTTATCTTACATGGTCAAGCAAAAAAAGATCATCATCTTCTTCCAAGCGTGAAAAATCAACTGTCCGTTGTCCTGTTACAAGTTCTAAAAGCATAATCCCATAGCCAAAAACATCCGTCTTTTCTGATGACTTCCCAGTGGACAAATATTCAGGTGCTATGTGACCCATTGTGCCACGAACTTCAGTTGTCACGTTAGTCTTTCTAACATCCACCAACTTTGCCAAGCCAAAGTCGCCAACAACTGCTTCAAAATCTTCATCAAGTAATACATTAGCAGCCTTAACATCTCGATGAATAATCTTAGGATTACAATGTTCGTGCAGGTACTCTAACCCACGGGCTGTGCCAAATGCCACCTGCCTTCTTGTAGGCCAATCTAAGACGGGCTCACCAGGTTTAATCTCTCGCAACCGATCGGCAACACTTAAATTCTGCATAAAGGGATACACAAGAAGGCGTTCTGTTGGAGTCGTGCAAAATCCGATCAGTCTTAATAGATTCCTGTGAACAGCTACACTTATCATTTCAACTTCGCGCTGGAAAGCTGCATCACCCCCAGGTCTCTCATAATCAGTGAGACGCTTAACAGCAACTTCTGTGTTATCAGATAGCACTCCTTTATAGACTTTTCCAAAACCTCCCTGTCCTAGAACATGTTTCTCACTGAAGTTGTCTGTTGCTAGCTGCAGTTCCCTCCATGAAAATCTTATTAACTGGCCAAATGCAATCCTTTGGTCACCTTAAAAAAAAAAAAAAAAAAAAAAAAAAAAAAAAAAAAAAAACAAAACAAAACAAAAACAAAAACAAAAAACCAGATGAGCTAAGTTATGCATGGCAAGGATCATCCAGGCCCTTTTGGCTCCAATCAATTTACTCACAGATACTTAACGTTTTTAACGGCAAGGGCCAGAGGCCAAATCAAGCCTCCCAACCAAAATGTTGTTATTCATGAAGTGTAGCCCTCCAAATTTGTATTTGAGAACAACTTTTTAACATTGACTGGAAAATAAACGATATTTCTTTTATGAAACTACAAGATATTGGCCACCCCCACCACTCTCAACCTTACCAAATGTGCAATGGCATAACATACCATAAACATGTAAATATTTATCCTAAAGAGGAACCCCTTACGTAACTCCAGTCATTGCGATAAACCAATTCAATAATAATCCTAAATTGGTTGAATAACTTTAGCATGATGGGTCAAAAGACTCAACTAAAATCAAGGTTCCAATGATTGGTCAGATGATGGAGTTGTTAATCAGTTCTACAACTAGAAAGCAATGCGTACCTGGAACATCCTCAAAAACTTCACGCTTGAAGCCTTTGTGTCTACGCTTGCCGGTAAAGTACAGTAAACCTCCAAGTAATAATAAAATGGTAAGCCCCACAAGAAGTCCAACTATGATTCCAAGCTTCGGCTTACTTTTAGCGCCTGTCAAGAGTGGGAAAACCCCATCGTGTAAGCTTATAAAAAGAAAGGGTAAGAATTCAATTTCAGATGTTTGTTTGACCCATTAACCTGAACCATAAATATCAGTTGCACAAGGGTGAGGGAGAATCACGCCACAGTTTAGGTGATTTCTTGTAAAACTGAAACAAGCAACACAGGTCAAATCAAGATTAGATAAACATATTTTGAATATGTGGGTGTGTGGAGAGAGAGAGAGAGAGAGGGAGAGAGAGAGAGAATGGTTTGCAGTCTTGTCAAGAATAGAAACACTAATAGTAACAAGTTGTTCATACTTGTATGTTTTGACACTAAACAGCTGCTCAGGTATTTGACCCATGAGAGCATTAGAGGCAAGCTGACTGCAAACAAAGTTTCAAGTATGGCATCAAATACTGAAGAACTGAGGCCCAAGTATACAACTTCACACAGATAACGTTCAGAATTCTAAAAGATGGAGTGCCAAAATAGTTGTCCATGAAAAATACGTACAGACTAATCAAGTTTGAAAGACTTGAAAGTGACTCTGGGATTGTACCACTCAGATTATTGTTACTCAAATTCCTGTTTGCATCATCAAGAAAGCACTGTCAGACAAAACTAGATACTGCAGAGTCAGTATATATTAGTGAAAACCTAAAACAATGCGGATGAAACAACTCACAAAAATTGGAGATTTTTCAGATTGCCAAAGGAAGCTGGTATTTCACCATGTAAATTATTGTTTTCTAAATTCAAGGTGGACAAACTTATCAGATTTCCAAACTCTTTTGGTATCTCACCAGTTATGCCATTTCCTTGTAATGAACTGCAAGATGAATGCACCTTATAGGTATTAGAGTCGTTGGCATATGGAATGCATATAAATATATATACATGTCTACAAATAGAAGAGGCTAAAACAATCAGACAAATGGGAACTGCTGCACAAGCTTTATACAAAACAAAAAAATCAATTGCTACCCTCGAAAATGAGCACAACATAAATTGCATGAAATCATGGAATTACATATGGGCTTTTGGAAATTCTCATTGCCCTGTTCTGCCCGTTACATCTTATGGTGATCAATAAAAATCCAAAAAACTATATATATATATATATATATATATGTATGTATGTATGTATGTATTGTTGGAGAACAATTCAGAAATAAACAAAAAATAACAGAAATAAACAGAACTTGAAATTCTAATATTTTATTAACTAAAAATACTTGATGTGCAGAATGAAATTATACAATAAATACAGAAACTAATATAAGAATATCAATGATACTAATTTGATCACAGAAGGTAGAGGCTAGCGTAAAAGCTATGTCCTTCGAACAGTATTTTCGTCCCACTCTTGTGCTTGTGGTTCTACAACGTCTCCTCGACCAAGATTCAACTACCTAATTCTACAACCCGCACTGGATTCTAGAATTCTAGCGAATTTGCTTTGTGTGCTTACTCTCTGGAAATTTCGTACGGAAGAAAAAGAGGAAGAAAGATAATCTCACTTGGATACTGTGATTGCAAATATATAGGCTGTTTCACACCCTTTCAAATACCTGTTCAGTGTATTTGAAAGTACACAACTCTTTCTAATAGTTGTGTCTTTTAATCAAAATGTTTTTTAATTAATAAATTAATTAAAAAACTTAATCCGAAAATTAAAATTAATGAATCTAATTAATTTTAAATTCCAAGGCCCTATGGGAAACACTAACAGTAACAAGTTGTTCATACTTGTATGTTTTGACACTAAACAGCTGCTCAGGTATTTGACCCATGAGAACATTAGAGGCAAGCTGACTGCAAACAAAGTTTCAAGTATGGCATCAAATACTGAAGAACTGAGGCCCAAGTATACAACTTCACACAGATAACGTTCAGAATTCTAAAAGATGGAGTGCCAAAATAGTTGTCCATGAAAAATAACGTACAGACTAATCAAGTTTGAAAGACTTGAAAGTGACGCTGGGATTGTATCACTCAGATTATTGTTATTCAAATTCCTGTTTGCATCATCAAGAAAGCACTGTCAGACAAAACTAGATACTGCAGAGTCAGTATATATTAGTGAAAACCTAAAACAATGCGGATGAAACAACTCACAAAAAATGGAGATTTTTCAGATTGCCAAAGGAAGCTGGTATTTCACCATGTAAATTATTGTTTTCTAAATTCAAGGTGGACAAACTTATCAGATTTCCAAACTCTTTTGGTATCTCACCAGTTATGCCATTTCCTTGTAATGAACTGCAAGATGAATGCACCTTATAGGTATTAGAGTAGTTGGCATATGGAATGCATATAAATATATATACATGTCTACAAATAGAAGAGGCTAAAAAAATCAGACAAATGGGAACTGCTGCACAAGCTTTATACAAAACAAAAAAATCAATTGCTACCCTCGAAAAATAGTTTTCTAAAGATGTTAACAATGGTCTCTCATGTGAGTAAGAATTCATCTCAAATTCCGTTCATCCTAAGCTAATATAGGACACATGTATTAGCAGTATGTACAATACAGAAGTGAAGTGCTACACCATGCTTTCAGTCATCTAAAGCTTAGCTCCTAATGGATTAGTCTGCACATGTTAACAAACGAAAATGAGCACAACATAAATTGCATGAAATCATGGAATTACATATGGGCTTTTGGAAATTCTCATTGCCCTTCTGTTCTGCCCGTTACATCTTATGGTGATCAATAGAAATCCAAAAAACTATATATATATATGTATCTATGTATATATTGTTGGAGAACAATTCAGAAATAAACAAAAAATAACAGAAATAAACAGAACTTGAAATTCTAATATTTTATTAACTAAAAATACTTGATGTGCAGAATGAAATAATACAATAAATACAGAAACTAATATAAGAATATCAATGATACTAATTTGATCACAGAAGGTAGAGGCTAGCGTAAAAGCTATGTCCTTCGAACAGTATTTCGTCCCACTTTTGTGCTTGTGGTTCTACAACGTCTGCTCGACCAAGATTCAACTACCTAATTCTACAACCCGCACTGGATTCTAGAATTCTAGCGAATTTTCTTTGTGTGCTTACTCTCTGGAAATTTCGTACGGAAGAAAAAGAGGAAGAAAGATAATCTCACTTGGATACTTTGATTGCAAATATAGAGGCTGTTTCACACCCTTTCAAATACCTGTTCAGTGTATTTGAAAGTACACAACTCTTTCTAATAGCTGTGTCTTTTAATCAAAATGTTTTTTAATTAATAAATTAATTAAAAAACTTAATCCGAAAATTAAAATTAATGAATCTAATTAATTTTAAATTCCAAGGCCCCATGGCCCTTATCTTGATTAATTAATATTAATTGTATTTAGGCTATATTATATTCAAGCCTAATCCACACAACCATAAGGCCCAAGTCTTCAATCCATTTCCAAATGGTCCAAGTTCTAATTACTAAGTAGAAGGAATAAGCCTATATAAAGGCTAGTGAAAAAATACTGTTGCCCAATGTGGGACAAGAAGGTCTCAAACTCCTACATATATATGTATATATATGTATACGCTTGTTCTTCATAAGTATGTTGGTGTACCACAAATCGGGAAAGCTTCAGTTGTTAGAAGGAGATCCACCACTTCTTTTATATTCTACAGTTCTCCCCACATGTAGGTCTCTCTCCACTGTCATATTCCAACATGTGGGATTCAACTTATTTGGGAGGTCGCAATTGCAGGACTTCAAACTCATGAATTTCAATACTAAACGATTTGTGAGGTACCTCACTTGCAAGCTTCAATTAAAGAAGTTAAATGTCTCAGGCAAGCTGTCAAACAGAAAATAACAAGTGAAGACACATGAAGCTAACCAAATTAGCTAGAAGTTGGATCAAAGTTTTTTTAATCCTCAACTAATCTGTAATGCTTAGGTGAGTTGACTTTGAATCATCGAAAAGTTGACATTGTCATACTCTACAAACAGGTCTAACCATACGATCTTAACAATTACCTTACTTCTAAAGCACGCATTTGGAGACTAAGCTGAAAACAAATAAATTGACTTCAATAACTGAAGTACATAACCCAGGTCGCTGTCAATGCATCCCAATGATGCATGACATTATTTATTCTTCAATGCATCCCAATGAGAATCCAGCATCTGTGGTGACAATCCTAGTTTTTGAAATGACTCCAGAAAATGAAGTGTATAGAAATTATGATAAACAGGACTAGTATTCTCCGTGCTTACAGTGTTTGAAGATTTTTCAAGGCTCCTAATTCAGGAGACAAGATGCCAGAAAATCCAATATGTGCCAATATTCTGCAAAATGAAAAAGACAAAACTAAGCATAGACAAGTAAAAAAACCTTAATCTATGCAAGGAGGAATTTCGTATCGTGAAGTGATCCGTTGACAACAATACATCACGATAAACAAAGGATGTCTTACACAGAAACGACATTATTATTGTTACGGTCACACTTCACATTGGACCAACTGCATGGATTGATTTGGTCGGCGTTCCAGTCCTTGAGCTGATTGGGTGAAATATTCAAAGATTTCCGCAATGAAAACAGTGCAACTCCTGAAACCGAAAATGCCAACATTCATCACCTAATCGGACAAATTTGCCAACAGAAATTCACTACCACATTACATAAATACTAGAAAAGGAATAGATACAACAAAGGAAAGTAAAAGATAGTGAACAAATTCTAACATACAAAAACCTCAAGACAGTCCACTAGCACCCTGGGTCTGTGTTCGTTCTATAATATCCTAGAGAGCAAGAGAAGAGAGAAAGAAAGAGTTGCAGAGAGGACCCCCAATGTTTGAATGTTTTAATTGCATCGAGGTTACAATATTGGGTATATAGCATTAATCAATACTAGACTTGTTTGCCTTAGTCTTGTTTCTTATGATATGTAACTGAAAAAATGCGGAGATTGTTGTGATTAGCATATCCCAGATGCTGTCCAAATGAATTAAATGTTGTAAAACCTCAGAACCGTACCCTGTGAATCAGGCAATACAAAAGACTGTAAGCAAGCCAAGACCAAAACTGCAAAGACTAGATCCATTTTCAACAGCATTATTCTTTCTAGCGATGGATGCAATGAAATGCATGGCGTTGATCAAGGAGCACTTGAAACAATTCCATATCTGCAAAAAGGGAAAACACTCCTTCAGTGAGCTATAAATGTTCAAATACACAGTATGAACTGCAATAACAACACTAAGTGGGGTCCGCAACAACAACAACAACAAAGTAGGAACTGCAACAATAATAAATTCGAGGCAAGCGTATGTTGAAGATCCTCTACAGTTTGCTAGTTGCCATGCTATCAAAGTATAGTTCAGTCAGGAAAACAAAACTGCGAGAAACGAACAACTTAATGGAAACCAATATGTGCATAAGATTTTTGGGAGCCATAGTCTATATTTGAGTACAAAGCCTCAATTATTTCATGGAGCAGATTATTCCTTAAGGAGCAAATTTTAATACTACAACGAACTTCATATTTGAGAAAAAATCGGAAATTGTCTTCCTTTGGCAGTTTAAATTTTGAAGTGCACAATGTAAGAGATTCAAATTTCGATTATGCTTCCCTCTTTGTTGGGGTCTGGTTTTTTTTTTTACCACATCATGTTGTTGGCTTGGCTGTTCGCTTCTCAACAATCATTCATATATTACAAGCAGTAGCAGAAATATTACTACTTCCTATCACACAAGGTAGAAACTACTCGAAAATTGAAAGAATCATAGATTCAGCTCAACCTACAAAACCAATACATCAAAAATGGGGGAAATTGCAGTTCAATCTTCATTCCAGGAAAAAGTTTATTCTTTTTTTCAGGTCCCAATTAAATGTTCAAAAGTTCAAACTTTTGTCACTTCCATTTCCCTACGATCCCATCAAATTTCCCAGCAACCAAACAAAAGTGAAAAACAAGCAAAACCCATGTCTGCAAATAATCAAAAAAAAGAAGAAATGCAGCTGAAAAAGAGAAGAAGAGGAAAGAGAGAAGTACCTGTGAGGAGGAATCAGGAAGACATGGCAGAGCTTCTGGAAGATTGAGTGAAGCTAACCACTCACAAGCTTCTTAGCTGTTTCCCATGTCCGAATTGGCTGTGAGACTTGACGAGAGAGAGTTCAGAGGCCTGGTTATTCTTAGTAGCAAGCAAATCCCCGAAGAGTCAGACACGCTAATAATTTAACGGAAGAGAAAAATGAAGAATTAAACCTTGGACAAATAAATTAATTAAGGTAACTTACATTTTAACTAGGCCAGGCAATTCTTGACACGACTCGATAATCTAATACGATACGATACGAAATTAACAGATGTTCAGGTTGACACAATAATGAATCGGGTCGTTATCGGGTAACCCGATAAACACCTATTAAGATAACGGGTTGGTTCGGGTATATACGTGGATAACACGATACACGATAAGCAAAATATTACTTTTATATTTTTATAACCCTAAAAAAATATTATAATTATATATATATATATTAATTTAACAATTTTATACCCCTAAAAACCACAATAATTATATATATATATATTAAATTAAATATTAAAAATTGGTGACCACTAAATCGGCTTAAATATATATACCATTCAATTTCTTAAGTGTTGTACATACAAAATAAATATATTTAAATCTACTTAATAAATATATACATAGACACCATTGAACTTGATGGGATACAAATTCTACGAAACTAATTTAAACGATCCAACCGTCAAACTTGTTTGTATATGCATTGAGATCGCATCAGCAAAAAATCGCAAAAAAAAAAACATTCAGAGATCAAGTAACTGGACAAAACATTTCGACGGCTATCAACAAAAAATCACGATTTAACGGTTATTTTAACTCCGATCTTGATGATTTTTTATAGCTACACTCCTTGACCCTATATGAATATAATGAATGAACTCGATCTTCAATTTAAAATATTTACACTAGTGGATACCACAAAATATTATGTTATACTTAATAAAAGTATGAATAAACTCTTAAGTGTTAGTGAATCTATTATTTTGATGGGATAAGCATTCTACGAAACTAGTTTCAACGATCCAACCGTCAAACTTGTTTGAATATACTTCGAGATCGTATACGCCAAAAATTGCAAAAAATAAACATTTAGATATCAAGTAACAGGACAAAACTTTTCGACGATTATCAACGAAAAATCACGATTTAACGGTTATTTTAACTCCAATTTTGATGATTTTGTATAGCTACACTCCTTGACCCTATATGAATACAATGAATGAACATGATCTTCAATTTAAAATATTTACACTAGTGGAATACTTAATGAAAGTATGAATAAACTCTTAAGTGTCAGTGAATCTATTGTTTTGATGGGATATGCATTATACGAAACTAGTTTCAATGATCCAACCGTCAAACATGTTTGTATATGCTTCGAGATCGCATATGCCAAAAATTGCAGAAAACAAATATTCAAAGATCAAGTAACGGGACAACACTTTTCGACGGTTATCAACAAAAAATCACAATTTAACGGTTATTTTAACTCCGATCTTGATGATTTTTTATAGTTACACTCCTTGACCCTATATGAATACAATGAATGAACTTGATCTTCAATTTAAAATATTTATACTAGTGGATACCATAAAATATTATGTTATACTTAATGAAAGTATGAATAAACTCTTAAGTGTTAGTGAATCTATTATTTTGATGGGATACGCATTCTAGGAAGCTAGTTTTAACGATCCAACCGTCAAACTTATTTGAATATATTTCAAGATCGTATACACCAAAAATTGCAAAAAAATAAACATTCAGATATCAAGTAAGAGGACAAAACTTTTCAACGGTTATCAACAAAAAATCACGATTTAACGGGTACTTTAACTCCGATTTTGATGATTTTTTATAGCTACACTCCTTAACCCTATATGAATACAATGAATGAACTTGATCTTCAATTTAAAATATTTACACTAGTGTATACCACAAAATCTTATGTTATACTTAATGAAAGTATGAATAAACTCTTAAGTGTTAGTGAATCTATTATTTTGATGGGATACACATTCTACGAAACTAGTTTCAATGATCCAACCGTCAAACTTGTTGAATATACTTTGAGATCGTATACGCCAAAAATTGCAAAAAATAAACATTCAAATATCAAGTAACAGGACAAAATATTTCGACGGTTATCAACAAAACATCATGATTTAACGGTTATTTTACCTCCGATTTTGATGATTTTTTATAGCTACACTCCTTGACCCTATATGAATACAAGGAATGAACTTGATCTTCAATTTAAAATATTTACACTAGTGGATATCACAAAATCTTATGCCATACTTAATGAAAGTATGAATAAACTTTGAAGTGTTAGTGAATCTATTGTTTTGATGGGATACACATTCTACGAAACTAGTTTCAACGATCCAACCGTCAAACATGTTTGTATATACTTCGAGATCGCATACGCCAAAAATTGCAAAAAATAAACATTTAAAGATCAAGTAATGGGACAAAATGTTTCGACAGTTATCAACGAAAAATCACTATTTAACGGTTATTTTAACTTCGATTTGGATGATTTTTTACAGCTACACTCCTTAACCTTATTTGAATACAATGAATGAATTTGATCTTCAATTTAAAATATTTACCCTAGTGGATACCACAAAATCTTCTATTATACTTGATAAAATTATAAATAAACTCTAGGTGTTAGTGAATTTATCGTTTTGATGGGATACGCATTCTATGAAAATAATTTTAATGATCCAACCGTCAAAGTTGTTTGTATATGCTTCAAGATCGCATACGCCAAAAATTGCAAAAAATAAACATTCAGAGATCAAGTAACTGGACAAAACTTTTCAACGGTTATCAATGAAAAATCACAATTTAACGGTTATTTTAACTCTGATTTTGTTGATTTTTTACAGCTACACTCCTTGACCCCATATGAATACAATGAATGAATTCGATCTTCAACTTAAAATATTTACACAAGTAAATACCACAAAATTTTATGTCATGATGATCGATGAAAATTGAGGATTTTGTAAAAGGAATTACATTCAAGCTTTGAGTTCCATTGGCAATGTTTAAACTTTTGAGAAAAGCTTCACAACCTTGAATATCATTTTGCATATCCTTGCACATTTAATATTTTGTATATCCTTGCACATTTTGCATATCCTTGCACATTTAATATTTTGTAATAGACTAGCAGTGTATGGATGTTTATTTATTAGACTCTTATTTTCAAGTGTAGATGTAATACTTAAATGAAAAATGTGCTTTAATGTTTTGAAGTAATATTTATGTGGCAATGTGTGGTATGTGCAAGTCTAAGAAAAAAAATACATTTTTCTTAACGGGTCATAGCAGGTCATAATGGGTCGGGTCACTTTACCCGTTGGGTAAAGTAACCTGACCTGTTAAGGACCCGTTAAGATAACAGGTGTGACACGACACGATCCGTTAAGATAACAGGTGTTACACGAAAACGACACGAACACGACAGACACGACCTGTTTGCTAGGCCTAATTTTACCTCTTCAGATTTGAGATCTTATACAACATTTTTAAAATATTTCAATTTCAAACATTTACTTATTATTTTATGGGGAAACTTGAAATAGGTCCAATTTTATAGCCCAATATTAGGATTAGTCCAATTTTTAGTTATTTTTGACTTAGCTCCAATGATTAGGATTCCATGTCAGCAATTTTTCTGATTAGGTTGATTTTTTTGCATTGTTATTACTATTTTACCCTCTTATAGATTTGACACGTTCTTCATATATTACCCACGTTTTAAATTTTTATCAGAATTCAAATTCATTGTTTAGTGGTCTTTATCTTTCTTCCAGATTTCTTGATAACAATTTTTGAATTTGAATTTCTTATCAATCTATTTTTAAGGAAGGCTTAAACTTATCTAGTAGACAATGAATTCGGATGGACAATTTCGCCTATTCTGTGCAGTTGTGCAGTAGGTGTGGTGATGCTACACGCCACAACTGGGAAATGAATGCAGAATTCGATTCATCCCGCACCTTTTTCAATAGAAGTTCAAGATAAATATATATTCTCACTGCAGCTCCACAGTCATAATCCCCCTAATACCTTTCTATCAGCTCTCATTGATATGCTTCTCATTTATTTAAAAAAAAAAAAAAAAAACCCAATGCACAGAAGGTGTTTGATGTTATGCCTCTTTGAATAGTGTACTCTTTAATTTCCCGTAGAAATTTATTGTTCTCTTATTGTCACTATCCTTGTCACTTATTATAGATTTCGAGTCGCCTGATGATAGCAAAAGGAAGAAATTCATTGTGATTGGAGGTGTTTCAGCATTATTCCTCATTTTCTTGATTTTGGGCATTGCTTGGTGGAAAGGCTGTTTCAGAAGTAGGACAACCAGGGAACAAGGTACGGACAATACCGTATCAGTCATTTTTTATTTAGAAAAGTCGCAATTGATTCATATTTCTACTTGCTACAATAAGAATTTTCAAAAGGGATTGTACACTGGCCGCACCTATCAGTATGCTGAATCATTAAATATTTAACTTACCTACGAAAATCAGCTGCATTCCTTTGAACATTGCAGAGGATCGGAAATCTTATTCTTAGAATTACTAAATTCACGTAGTTATATCTTTTTCAGCCTATTACATTTATGTTTTTTTCCTGTGTTTTATAATTGTTTAGTTATGGAAGGAGCTATCATTGCGAAGTGCACTTTTGAGAGCAAGACCCTTTTAATTCCAGTATTTAATCATACTAAGTTCAAGGATATTTCTGAACAAATTTGTTCCCGATTTGTGGGATTAAGTCTTGAAGTCATGGAGTTGACGTACTCTCTAGGAGAACACCAATCTTGTTTGCTGCAATCTGACATGGACGTGAGTGTAATGAAATTTTCATGTTGTGCTGAAAACATAGCATCTATTCCTGTCTGTGTTTCCATGGTACAACCAGTTGAGCAACTTGATCCCATTTCTTCCCCACATGATAAACAGATTTTTAATTATGAAGGCTTAAAACCCTCAGATGATCATGCAGATTTAGGGAAGTTTGCCACTCCTCATGGGAAGACATATTTGTCCCATGCTTGGAGAAACTACATTAGCCATGTTGGTCAAGAATTTCCAGGTGGTGTCAAGGAGTTCAGACAAAAATTGATGAAGTATGCAGTTGAAATGGGTTTCAGGTATGTCTATATAAGGAATGATAGTGAACGTGTTACTGCTGAATGCTTCAATAAAGATGATGAGGGTTGTGTTTGGCGTGTGCATGCCATTTTGAATCGTCCTAGCAGGTTATTCTACATTAAAAGTCTGAATAATGTACATACATGTAAAGCTAGGTTTCGTGATCAAAAAAGCATCAAGATGGGTTCCAAAATTGTGGCGTCGGTCCTTGTTGACGAGATTCGAACCAATCCAATTGTAAGACCAATCGATGTTGTTAGAGATTTCAAGAAAAACTATGGTATAGGTATTTCTTACTATAATGCTTGGTATGGTAAAGAGTTAGCAAAGATGAAGGTCCATGGTGATGATACACAGTCATATAGACTACTATTATGGTATGCAGAAGCAGTGCTAGCAACCAACCCAGGCTCCCATGTCCAGCTTGAATATAATGGTAGTTCATGTCGGTTCGAGCGTTTATTCATTTCATATAATGCTAGTATTGAAGGGTTCAAATTCTGCAGACCTTTCTTGTGCCTTGATGGAACTTTTATAAAAAAACAAGTACAAAGGTCATTTGTTGGTAGCCATCGGGAAAAATGGTAATCAAGGTATGATTTAGACATCTCCTTATATTATAGGCTGCGTGAAAGCTAATAATTTTTTTTCCACATGATAGGTAGTTTAAAAGTTTATCCATACATGTCGACGAAATTTATCATTTTGTTAATTTTGCTCCATGTTAGGTAGTTTAATAGGGTCTCAAACAGTAATATATGAGAAAGTATCGTTTTATAACTTTATACATGTTGTGTCCATCCCTTAATTGTTCTAGCATGATCTCGTTTGATAAGGGGTATCAAATACTATATGCTTTGCTATGTCCCAAATAGTATTATATGTTTAGTATGTATGTGGAAATAGTGCTTACAAAACTGACCCTTTATTATAACCTGTTCTTATGTATTCATCCTTAACAGATTTTTCTTTAACATGTTCTTTTTCTTCAACACATGGCTCAGGGTTTTTCCCGCTAGCTTTTGGCATTGTGGACTCTGAAAATGAAAACAATTGGACATGGTTTCTGGAAAATTTAGCAGAGATATTGCTTCCCCAAGGTCGTACGGTTACGTTCATATCAGACCGCAACAGAGGTCTACTTGAAGCTGTTTCCACCGTTTTTTCCAGAAGCACCACATGCATTTTGCATGTTTCATTTGAAATTGAATATACAAAGTAAATATCCAAAGAAGATGGGTTCTGGTTATGGTGAAGTCGTTGCTAACCTGTTCCAAAAATGTTGTTACGCTCCATCCCAACTTGTGTTCGATCAGGAAATGAAAACTCTCATCAAGGATGGTGGTACAATAATTCAGAAATTTTTGCAAAACACACCCAAAGAAAACTGGTCCAATGCATACTTCAGGGGTAAAAAATATGGTGAGATGTGCTCTAATATTGCAGAATCCTTCAATTCTTGGATTTTGGATGAACGCAAGATGCCAACTTACCAAATGATTGATAACATACGTGTGAAGTTGATGGAGATGAGTTCTGATCGGCAACGTGAAGCCGAAAGATGGACCTCACCAATATGCCCAACAATGGATGACGAAATGATGAAAATGGTTGAAGTTGGAAGACACTGGAATGTGTGTCGTTCAAGTGACCATATTTTTGAAGTCAGAGATGAGTATTCTGTCATGGTGGACTTACAAAGTCATACTTGTTCTTGTTATCAATGGCAAATTAAGGGGTTCCCTTGTGCACATACTTTGGCAGCTATTCTGAAAGATGGAGGTAACCCATATGATTATGTCGAAGATTATTTCACAACAGATTTCTATAAGTCTTCTTATTCATATCCCATCATTCCTGTACCTGATATTGAAAAGGATGAACAATCTATGAGTCAGGAGTTTGTGATAGAACCTCCATTGACAAAGCGGCCCCCAGGTAGACCAAAAGTTAAAAGACTAAAATCTATTGGGGAAGAAACACGCCCCAACAAGTGCAGTAGGTGTGGTGATGCTACACGCCACAACCGGAAAACTTGCAACGCCCCTATTTGACATACATCTCCATTGCCATTTGGATTTTTTTTTTCAAATATTTGAACACATGTTTTTTTTTTTTATCAATGTAATAAAATGATGCCTTCGACTTTTTAGTTTACTCATATTCTTCTTTTTTCCATTTTCTACTTACATGTCATATAACTTATGCAATCTGTGAAGACTATATTTATTATGCTATCATTACTAAACCTTCCAAATCAAACCTATATATATATAACAAGCAGCCATAAGATGTTAAATTTTATCCTACCTATCAATTTGGCTTACAATATAAACTACCTATACTTGTAGAATATGATTTTTACATTCACCATTAGTTGTACATGTATATAGGTTTTTGGGACGGTTTTAACCTACCTAACATGTAGGAACATTACCGACAAACATTTTTTATCAACAATTTGAAAGTACCTATCCTTATACAATTAGAAAGTACATCTACGAACTATGTCCAGATAATGACAAAATAACATTATATGAGATTACAAACAAATCTTATTGTGCAATCAATAAAGGGAAACATGAAGAATATCCCCTTTCAATTGAAATTGAAATTAAAAAACAGATACGACAAAGCATATCTCAGTTCACATAACACCCAAACTTATCTAGTAGACAATGAATTCGGATGGATTGGAGTCCCATCATTTTATTGAATTGAAACACTTAAATGAAACAAAAACTCAAATTTCGCATAACTTCTTTATCCTAGTCTTCCTTTTCCCAGCTACCATCTCCCTCATTTATGAATCTACAAAGGACATGTGCTCTCATATTCTTCATCGCCTTTGCCGAAAAGACACCTTCGACTAATTCTCCATCAGCTTTTTGTTGTGCAATATACATCACAGCAACTCCACAGTCATAACTGTTTAACAAAAAAAAAAGGGTATGAACTTAAATATTACATTCTATCACCATGAAACCAACAAATATGCATAATACAGATGAAATTAACACTTACATGTTAGGAAATTGTTGTGAGCATGATATGTTTGCTTTCAGTGGATACTCAACATTAGTTTGCCTCAACCACATGAAAAATTCTCTGTCATCATGGCTAAGCGTGTACAACAACGTCTGTACCTTATCACCTTTCATGATATGTTTGCAAATAGAGTTCTCATTGAGCTTTCTTGAAATACTATCTTTCATATGCTTAAAGTAGTCAGAAATTTTCACATGCTACAAAAAAATTAATAAAATAAAAAAAGAACACATTACAAAGTTAGTGTGTGAAATAAAATCCGAAGGATAAGAGGTATACTACATAGTTATCAACTTACCAATTTTTTAGCCTCTTCGAAATAAGGATCCACATACATATTCAACTTGGTTTGTAATGTGTTGTAATGTTCCCACCATCCACTTTGTTTGTTGAACACAAGCAAAGTATAATGCATTCCTTTGAAATGGTTAATCGGAAAGAAAACATAGTCGTTCTCCCGCACCTTTTTCAATAGAAGTTCAAGATAAATATATATTCTCACTGCAGAATTCGATTCATCCACAATATCCTACAAACCAACACGGATTAGAAGCACACTAGCCAAAAAGTAATATACCTGTACAACACATTATGATGTAAAATTCATATTCTACAAGGGCAGGTAGAATATTCTCTAGATTAATGCTAGAAGATCGGAATAAAAAAGGATAACTGTGTTACAAGGGCAGGTAGTTTATATTTACCACAGATACTAATAAAAATGGATTAGAAAAAAATAATAAAAATCAACATTTTACAATTACACTACTCATCACTAAATAGCATTGGTTTTTCTAATTCCTTAGTTATGGATGGTATTAAACTAGCTAGAATGAAGGAAAATTAACTGCAATGTTTGAAGAACTAAAATTTACGCACCCACGCAAATGTCGGCATAAACCCATATTTCAGCTGATCTTTTGGAATCCCAATTTGGTCGTCATTCAAAATTTCGAAAAAAGAATCAACTACCTACAACAAGAACCAAAACATCTTATGAATCATTTGTAAACCTTTCATTCAAATGCAATTGTATTCATTGCTATCTAAGTCAAGTAATTATAAAAATTACAAATACCTGTCGACTAACACCTCCCTCATTCAAGAGTGCGAGGATATCATCACGGATCACTGCACAATGCTCTCCTTTCCACATTGAAACCCTTATATATATATATATATATATATAGAGAGAGAGAGAGAGAGAGAGAGAGAGAGAGAGAGAGAGAGAGAGAGTTCAAACAGCATAATCAACAGGTTGATAACTAATAGGTAGAAAACTGTAAACTAGAATAAGGATGAAAAATTATACACTACCTATCATCATTCAAATCCAGAAATTGTTTCAACTTCTCTGCATACGGTATTGGAAGACACTTGCCCACTCGTAGCCTACGCACAGCTATTGTCTTCACCGGTGCCCTTATTTTTGTGTTCCCATATTCATGCATTTGAATTGCTCGTGAACCAACACAATTTTTATCCATATGAACTACCATTTTTTTATTAACACAAGCATCATACTTGTAATCTGGCATCAACAAGGGCTTCCTTGGTTTTGATTTCACCCGCAAAATCATTGAGTTTTGTTTTGGAGATTTGTCTTTCACCATGTAATTTTCCTTACATTTTAGCTCCTCCTTCAGATTCTCGTTTTCAATAGTAAGTTTCATAATTTCTGAACGGTAGTCCTCCACCAAAAGACTCATCTCTTGTAATTTTCTCTCCAAGTCATTAAGGTTTGCCTTAATATTTGAAGGCTCTCCCAAGTTGTTTTCCATAAATTCTGATGGCAGTATATCAAATGTTGGGAGAAATTCTTCATCTGACACTTTCTGAGGCTCCACATTTATCCCCCCACCATGTGAACGCAGTTGTATGATTTTCTTCTCTTTTTCAGGTGTTTTTGGACTGCCCCCACCTACCTGTACAACTTCCTGTAACATAAACACACCATGTTTAATTTTATTAAAGTACATAAGACTTTATTTACATAATCTGTTCAAAAAATAACATACCTACTCCAACATGGATTACAAGCAGAATACCTGTTTCACAGGTATTCCTATAGATTTGATTGTTCTACAATCCATGTTCTACAGGTATACCTATATAACACAATACCTGTAGAACAGGTAAACCAAATCTATAGGTAGGATAAACATACCTCCAACTCATGGATCTTCATAATTTCCATCTTTGCATACAATTCCGACAAATTCCACTTAACAACCTTAAGTGGCATATTTTCCCTTCATCTGATTGGATTGATCAAATGAGTACGCTCACAAAACCAGAACTGCATCAGTAAGATATTAATATGTTAGTTCATTTGAACACAGATAGGTATACCTAAGGAAATAAAATGTAGATTAACATACCAATAATCCAATTACACAACGAGTTACACTTTCGTAACGTTCTCCCATATTATCAATTGTGCCCAACAACCAATTCTTTACTGCTACAGCCCACGCATAATCCTTCATCTTGGTAATATCCTCAACGTACCCAACCATGTACAAACTAGTATTATTTCCACTCGTACTGAAAAACAGTGTCAAGCAAAAATATAAACAAACCAGTCGCACAAAATCACCCTCATGCACACTACCATGCAACTTAACCACTCTCAAAATCCTTTCTTCCAATATCTTCTTACTTATATCTTTCACGTCTGCAAGACATCTCTCATAAAAACCTGTAAATGCACCCTTTCTTTTCCTACTATTCAGGTTAATCTCTTCCCCTTCATCAGGCAACCCAAAAATTTCAGATATATCTGTGGCAGTTATTGTTGCAGTTATTCCACCAAAAACAAATGCTTTTTGTACTGGGTCGTAGCACTTCAATACGGACACAATATTCGCATCACATTTCTTGCAAACACCATCAATGATCAAATTCTCATGGTAGGCTTGGAACAACCTCCCGAACGGTGTACGATTCATTAACTCAAGATGCGCATTTGTCACACTAAGTCTCATTTCTTCCATAACGCGACGAAACTTCAAAAGGTCAGACCTGTACTCCAGGCTTATCTTTTTTTTTCTCTCCATGCAAAACATCTTCGGCTACAAGTAATACAAAGTCTACTATAACATGATTATTCCAAAACATACTAAATAACGCCCAAATGATAACATATCAAGCCAAACTACATATCATATTTATATAAGTAATGTTAAAAAGAGACTAATTTAACAATTTCAATTAATTATTCTAAAAGTAACTCCACAAAGTGAACGACGTATCAATTTAAACTACCCAGGTTAGTATTGAAGTTCCAATGACTAAAACACCAATTATTAAAGATGAACTGGAATACCTGTAATCTAGGTATCACAAGCCATTACTAATAATGTAATGGTAAACCCTCTTAACCCACCTAATTGATTTCAAACTAGTGCAAGCCTTCACTAACGCATAAACACTGCCCACCAATTCATACCCGTCGTCAAACTCTAAATCTCGATCAATTGAAGTGAAAAAAAAAAAAAAAATTTAGAGCAAAGATAGGGTAGCAACTGTTATCAAATACTGGTATTGAAATCGAGGGAGTGTAATACCTGTTATCCAGATAACGAACACTGCAAAAACAAAGCCCAAATCACAAAAACCAAAATATTAGAAAGGCAAAACCATATGACCATGTAGTGCAATCTGATAATCGTCCGATTATCAACAATACCTGTTCTATAGGTATACCTACAGATTTGAAAGTCTTTAAACTACCTAAATAGAAAGGAAATCTGATCCAATCTCGACTTCAGGGGGAAAAAATATGGTGAGATGTGCTCTATAGGTATACTTCAGGGGGAAAACAGGTATCAAAGAAAACAGATCCAAAGCATACTTCGAAAAAAATTAAAGTACCTGTTCTCCAAGTATACCGGGAGGCCAGAACCAGTTCGCCTATTCTGTTTTCATCATATACTGGGAGAAATTTTATAGCTTTCATAGCTTCATACGGATTTAGGGGATTGGTTTCAAGGTTTCCGCTGGA